GGTTTCGTATTCCGGTTCAGTCAGTTCCGCGTTTCAATTTTGTTGGTCACGAATCGTACGTAAATAAAAACGATCGTACGTGTATAGAAAATTGGATCAAGATAAACTTAATTCGTGTAATTTGTGAAAAACAGATCGAAGCGGAACGCGGTGCACGTGGCAAAGCAGAAAAACAACGCAGCGACCTTGCACGAGAATTGGAAGAACTTGGCGAACGTCTCGAGGAAGCTGGCGGTGCTACCTCGGCACAAATCGAATTGAACAAGAAGAGAGAAGCCGAACTTAGCAAATTGAGGAGAGACCTTGAAGAAGCTAACATCCAACATGAAGCTTCACTCGCTAGCTTGCGTAAGAAGCACAACGATGCAGTTGCCGAAATGGGAGAACAAATTGATACGCTTAACAAGTTGAAGGCTAGGTAAGAATGATACAATGATGCGCCATGGGATTTAACAATTATTTACAGATAAAACAATACGACTTCGTAATATAACGCGTTCATGATATTTCTATTAATTTTTTTCTTTTTTTTTTCCCCCTCCTATAATTCGAGCCCCTCATACAAAAAACACAACAACGCGTTATCCAATAAAATTAGAACAATTTCTTTCGCATTTAAAAATTACATTTCTACTTTAATTCACAAATTAAAATGATTGTTTTAATCGCGTTATCGTGAAGTTTTTATATTTCGTTATTATTTATTTTATTATATTATGTTATTGTCAATTATTTGGATAATGATTAAACAAGATATTGGTTTTTCTTTATAAGAGAGACATATTTTATCACATTGAGTAAAATATGAACCACTTTATAAATTAAAAACAACGATCGATAAATAATAGACGATACATAATATGACAAAGAATTTAGAAATTCTAATAGAATTCATTTTATGGTTTCTATTTCGAACGCGAATTATTGTCAACGTTAGTAGTAACTTTAAGTTTTTGATAGGGCCGAAAAGGGCCGCCATGACATCCACGCCGAGCTGAATAATTCTCGTGCCTCGACGGATCAAGTTTCTAGGGAGAAGGTACATTTAGAAAAAAAAAAGAAAAAAAAAACAACAAAATCCGCAACGAGATATATGTCTGTGCTAATAACCGCGTGAACAATTGTTTTTCATCTGTTTTTTTTATTTTTTTCATTCTTTTCGTGTTATCCTCGTACATTATCTTTCAGAAATTCCAAAGTAAAAGGAAAAGGAATGTTTAAGTGTATTGTTTACCTCGAATAATTGTTTACGATGCACGACGAACGAACGAACGTTTATAATCCTTACAATTATCAAAAACAGAATTAGGTATTCCTGAGTAAGTTAATCGTAGAATTAACTGGACATATGAAATATATTTAAACAGTAGCCCTTTAAAAAAAGGCAAAAACAAAAGCCCATAATCCGAGTAACAATGAGGATTGTTCAGTCGATCCAACGATTGACTTTTTGTTACAATATTTACCAATTTTTGTATAATTAATACGTATTGATTTTTTGTTCACACAATATTAACTAAATCCTCCAATATTGTTTGTTCCAAATCTTGTCGATAATCGAAAATAGGACCGAAAAAGAAAAGGTACAATACTTCAGCGAGTTGAACGACCTACGTGCCACGGTTGATCACCTGAGTAACGAAAAGGTAATGTCACCCACACCCATTTTGTGATCCCGAAATAATATTTTCCAGCGCATAAATGAATGCGCACTAACGCAATAAATAACAGCTTTGCCGAGCAGCTGCTTACAAGGAGGACGGAAAATATGGAAGGGAATGGTGGTACACACCATCATATAGGATGATTGAAATCGTTTGAGTGAGTTTCATTTGAGAGAACCTCGGATGCATTATGCTTGTTTACGCATTAACATTGCTTGCTTTTTACTTATTATAATGAATAGTTTAGTATATATATTAAACCTTTAGTGTGTGTTAGAGGTTAGGTCAACTAGATCCCAAATATTTCTTTGTACATTCATTACATTTATTTTATTTTGCAAAAGAAAAAAGACCAAAAGACAGATTTAAAGATTTTTTAAATTGAAAAGTATAGAATTGTCGAAATATATTGTATGGGATCAAATTGATGACACCGTACGCGTTTTTATGTGAAATAATGGCACACACGTTAAAGGGATTAACAGTTTTTCAATGAAAAAAATGAATTGTACGATATATATAAAACATAAACATTTGAACAGGCTGCCCAAGAAAAGATCGTTAAACAATTGCAACACCAATTGAACGAGACCTCAGGCAAATTGGAAGAAGTTAATCGTACATTGAACGATTTCGATGCTGCTAAGAAGAAATTGTCGATCGAGAACAGCGACTTGTTGCGCCAATTGGAGGAAGCTGAATCTCAGGTTAGCCAATTGTCGAAGATCAAGATCTCGTTGACGACACAATTGGAAGATACGAAGAGGCTTGCCGATGAGGAATCACGAGAACGTGCCACGCTTCTCGGCAAATTCCGTAATTTGGAACACGACTTGGATAACATTCGCGAACAAGTTGAGGAAGAGGCCGAAGGCAAGGCTGATCTTCAAAGACAATTGAGCAAGGCCAATGCCGAGGCACAATTGTGGCGTACGAAATACGAATCCGAAGGTGTTGCCAGAGCCGAAGAACTCGAAGAAGCCAAAAGAAAATTACAAGCACGTCTTGCAGAAGCTGAGGAAACAATTGAATCGTTGAATCAAAAGGTCATTGCCCTTGAAAAAACGAAACAGAGGCTGTCGACCGAAGTCGAGGATCTTCAAATCGAAGTTGACCGCGCTACTGCCATTGCCAATGCCGCTGAAAAGAAACAGAAAGCTTTCGACAAGATCATTGGTGAATGGAAACTCAAAGTTGACGATCTGGCTGCTGAATTGGATGCCAGTCAAAAGGAATGCCGTAATTACAGTACCGAACTCTTCAGGCTCAGAGGTAAATTATTCTTATTATTATTCTATTTTGTATTTTAACCCTTAACTGTTCCGAAATTATTTCAATTTTACTTTCCCAACAAGTCCAAGTTATTTTTCATATCAAAAGAAACTATGAACACTATATACATTATAAACATATTTTAAAAATCAAATATAGACAAGATTTATATTTATATATTTTAATTGAAAAAAAAATGTATATTGTTATATATTCAGGATAAAAGGATAACAATAATATGATTTACATATAATAACACACATAACTTATTACTAATACATATAATAATAAAATAATAAATTAGTTCTTGACATTCCGTTAACGGGTTAATACAAAATTCTACTTTTATACCCCCCTGTCCCTTACAAATAAATAAATATTATATTTATTCAGGTGCTTACGAGGAGAGCCAAGAACAATTGGAAGCTGTACGTCGTGAGAACAAGAACCTTGCCGATGAGGTGAAAGATCTTTTGGATCAAATAGGCGAAGGTGGACGTAACATTCACGAAATCGAAAAGGCAAGGAAACGTTTGGAAGCTGAGAAGGATGAATTGCAAGCAGCATTGGAGGAAGCTGAGGCGGCATTGGAACAAGAAGAAAATAAGGTGCTCAGAAGCCAATTGGAATTGAGCCAAGTTAGACAAGAAATTGATCGTCGCATTCAAGAGAAGGAAGAAGAATTCGAGAACACGAGGAAGAATCATCAACGAGCTCTTGATTCAATGCAAGCTTCCCTCGAAGCAGAAGCTAAGGTATGTGTAAATTGGGAATAGAAATGAAAAGAAATTAGAACTCAATTGAATGGTCGAAAAAGAACAAAAAAAAAAGACAAGGGAAATTCTTTTGGCGGGTTTTAAAACAGTGAAGTTAAATGCGACCGAAAAATTGGACACCACGAAGTTGTCGATGATATTTACGATGCGCGGGAAAAACGATTTTAAATTTTTACGACATGAATTAATTCGTAAATATAAATAAATTAGATTGTACATATTTTAATTAAAACCTTTATCAATGGTATTTAATAATCTTCGCATTTTATTTTATCATATTATCGTATTTTCGACAAATGTAGAGTATTATATTGATACGCGAGATAATTGAAGTTATTTTTTGAGGTTATTTAGGTTATGTTCGTTTTGGTACGTTAAAGAAGTATAATTTCTTACGTGCGTACATAAGTATACACACTAGTTTCTTTTTTTTTTATTTCATTTGATATATAAGTAACACATAACCACGAACAAATATTTTCATCTGAATTGGACAAAAATTCCTTGTTTACTTTTGAAATAAAAGAGTGTCAATAGGTGTGATAAATAAGAATAAAAAAGATATTTATGTAAAAATAATTCGAATCTATCTTCTCATTGACTAAAAATTCAATTTACTTACAATATCTGTGTTAATTAATAATTGATTAATTATTTCAAATAATCGAAGAAAAATTTGCAAATAAATTCAGGATTCTATTTCACAATTGGCCAAATATAAAAATCGGTTTTTTTTTTAGCACACAAGGGACGCGATTACAATTTCTTAAAATAAAAATACAAACCTGTTGTCGTTAATTTACAGGGCAAAGCCGAGGCACTTCGCATGAAGAAGAAATTGGAAGCTGACATCAATGAATTAGAAATAGCATTGGATCATGCAAACAAAGCTAACGCCGAGGCTCAGAAAAATATCAAGAGATATCAGCAACAATTGAAGGACGTGCAAACAGCTTTGGAGGAGGAACAACGTGCACGCGACGAAGCTAGAGAATTACTTGGTATTTCTGAACGTCGTGCTAATGCATTACAAAATGAACTCGAGGAAAGTCGTACGCTATTGGAACAAGCCGATCGCGGCCGTAGACAAGCTGAACAAGAATTGGCCGATTGTCACGAACAATTGAACGACCTCAGCGCTCAGAACGCATCAATCTCAGCTGCCAAGAGGAAACTCGAAGCTGAATTGCAGACCCTCCATGTAAGTAACGAAACATTTAATTGTTCATTTGAACAATTCGAACAATTTGAACAACTTTAACCGCTGAGAAGACAATATTTCATTGTTTTAATTCTTTCGTTTTGTTTTGTTTGTTTTTGTTTGGTTTCTTTAGTCTGATCTTGACGAACTTCTGAACGAAGCCAAGAACTCTGAAGAAAAAGCTAAGAAGGCAATGGTAGATGCCGCCCGATTGGCCGACGAGCTTAGAGCCGAACAAGATCACGCTCAAACCCAAGAGAAACTTCGCAAAGCTTTGGAGACACAGATCAAGGAACTCCAAGTTCGTCTTGACGAAGCTGAAGCTAACGCATTGAAGGGTGGCAAGAAGGCCATACAGAAATTGGAACAACGCGTACGCGAATTGGAGAACGAACTTGATGGCGAACAAAGGAGACACGCTGATGCTCAAAAGAACCTTCGCAAATCTGAACGACGCATCAAGGAACTTAGCTTCCAGGTACGGTTATATAGTTTTATCAATTTGTATGACAAGTTACCAAAGAAATACCGAAATTGGATAATGTCAAGATTCACCAAGGTGAATGTCAACATATACCAAATATTTTGATGAAAGACCGAACATTTAGGTTTATCCTTAAACATTAATATTTCGGATATATACCAACCGATCAGGTGAATCTTAACGTTATCCAATTTAACCCTAACGTATATTGAATGCCAAAATAGTTCAATGTTTTGAAATCAAATGGATGAAAAATAGATTTTGTATATAAATTCATAGATATTTATATTTAATAATAAATTTGATCGGGAAACTTTTTGTTAACATCCTGTATAATAAGCTACACGTATATAATAATTAAATCCAATGATTCGTAATGTGACTTTGTTGTTGTTGTTGGTTAACCAAAATACTTTATGGGTTTTTTTCTGTTCTCATTTCATTTCGTTTAGGCCGACGAGGATCGTAAGAATCACGAGCGCATGCAAGACCTAGTTGACAAGCTTCAGCAGAAGATAAAGACGTACAAGAGGCAGATCGAGGAAGCCGAAGAAATTGCCGCATTGAATCTTGCCAAGTTCCGCAAAGCTCAGCAAGAACTCGAGGAAGCTGAAGAAAGAGCCGACTTGGCTGAACAAGCTATCACCAAATTCCGCACTAAAGGTCGCGGTGGAAGTGCTGCACGCGGATTGAGCCCAGCGGTAAGCACAATTATTTCATTACTTTATTTCATTATCTTCCATCATTTTATTTTCCTATCATTTCCAATATTTCCCTTATACAACGAACTTCATAATATATATACCCCCGAAATAAAAAAAAAAAAAAACAACACGCGACTGCATTTCTCATGAGATCCTTTTAGATTGGCGAACAAAAAGAAAGAAACAAAACAAAACACAAAAAGAATCCGAAATCAAAGAATTCAGTCCACTACTTTCCTTCCTCTCTTATACCCATAGACCAGGGGGGGGTACTCAACCATTTTACATCGCGGATCCCCGTATACACCCTCGTTCGTTTGTTAAATCAAACAGGGCCCCTTCCCCACCTCAAACTTGTGGAAAACAATAGGCGTATTTTAAAGCGGAGAATTGTTGTGGTGGGGTTTAATGACAAGTGGCTGGCAAATGAATATTCTAACGATTACAAAATGATAATGATGAAGAATAAATAAATAACAATATGTAAAATCCCCATTAAAGATTAAAACGTAATCAGGAGAAGGCTGCTACTGCATTCGATAATTATTTGTTGAGCCACTTGTGCAGTGTCCCGCATTTTGCCGCAGGTTGAGTATGACCGTCATAGAACCCCCCGACCCCCAACCCCCGGGACTTTCGGTTGTTTTTAGGTTTCCTCGCGTCCCCCTGCACCCCCCCGACAATTCTACAAAATGTTTTCTCTTAAAACGATCATTAATCTGATTGAAACGACAAAATATATTATATCTTTAATTCTGTGTCCCTGTATAGCCGCAACAGAAGGCCCGCAAGGCGCCTTCCGCGATGGAGTAAAAACACTGCGTTGCTGGTCCATGTAAGTCCAGTTGTGAACCACAAGATAGTAAAAAAGTTCTATCTTTTCTTCTCGCCAATAAAAATAATTAATTGGGAGAAAAGAAAACAAACAACGAGATTAAACGTTTTTATAAATGTTTACTTTTTTTTCTTATTCTTTTTTTTTTTGTTTGATTTTATACGTCAAACATTAAACGCACAACTAGACCAAAACTAGAATTAAATGTTCAAAAAATAGTACGAATTTTTACTAAGAAAACACCCCCAATCCGCCATCGTCTCTTCACCCCCCATATCAACATCATCATTTTTCTTTGTGGTATTCCCAACCCCCGTGATCCTGTTGTTCTCGATATATAACATTCACTATCGGCAAATAGCTATTAGATTTCTTCGTTATTAACTTCGTTATTAATATTAAATCCCTCCTCCTGACTTATCTTATTTTTTTTAGTTTTTTTTTCGTGACATTATAATAGTAATAATAATAATGTCATAAATGTTTTTTTGAAGGTGTAGAATAGAAAAAAACAAAAAAGGAAAGAGTTTTTTCTTCGTTTTTTCTTTTTGATTTTTTGTTTTATTAGAAACGATGCTAAAACAGAAACAAACAAACAAACAAAAACATTGAGGTTATGTTAATGATTTGTCCAAGTTTTTTATTTCCAATATGTCCGTGTTCATAGTCTTAGTAACACATAATCATAATCATAATAATAATAATAATAATAATAATAATAATAATAATAATAATAATAATAATTGTTAAATAATACATAGTTGTTATATTGATGTATTATGCAAAAAGGAGATTGGGACATCCTCCTTTGTGATATAAGATTTGAATTGAATTTGAATTGAATTATCTTCTTCTTTTTTGTTTGTTTATTTTTTTATATATATATATATATATATATATATTTTTTTGTATTCTTTCTGTGTCTTCGTTGAGTGGTCTGTCTCATAGTTATAGCATTAATTAATTAATTAATTAATTAATGACGTTGGAAAGGAGATATAACGCAACTGCACAAAAAAACGTGCAATAACTGAGGTGACCATAAAAATATTATTATTTTTTAAAAGTACATCATTAATGGTCTTAATTAATTGTTTAAATGTAATCCAATAAACGTGAAGAAATTATTTTAACAAAAATATTATTATACATACATATAAAGATAATACATATCTAATTTACAAAACAATTTTCAAAACATCAAAACTAAAAGTTCTATGCAAGAACACGGGGAATTTGGGGCGGGGGGGGGGAGTCTTTTAAAATCATAATCAAATATTTGTTATTGTTTTTTCGTTGCAAAATTACTTTTACACAATCTAAATTGTAAAAATGAATAATGTGTTATCTGAACCATATACGAAAGATAATTATTGAACAATCTAAAGGAAAAAAAAAAGAAAGTAACTTATGAAAGAATCTTTCGTATAAGACAAAAAAAAAAGAAAAGAAAAAAAAAAATTGAAAAGAGTTGCGAACAAACTTTAAAAAAAAAAAAAAGAAAGAAACCAAATGGTCACCTTAGCCACGAAGTATCCCTTTTCCCTTTTGAAATAATTTATTAATTCGTATGAAAAAAAGAATATATATAAAAAATGAAAAATAATAAAAACCAAAAAAAAAATGCAAAGAAAGACTTGTGTGATATTATAAAAAAACAATAGAATACAAATAAGATTCGTGAATTGTTTTTAAATTGGTTCATTTTCATTGTGACAATAATACGTGTGCGTATAAAGAATTTTCACTTCAAATTATAGAACCCCCTTCCCCCTTCACCCTCAACGATTTTCAAATGCACTTTACCATTAAAAAAAAAAAAAAACAAAAAAGGGTTCAACGTAAGAACGAATACGATTTAACCAAACGCGAAAAAATATTTATTTGAAGTGGAAAATCTTTTCATAAAAATCATTTTATTTTTTTTTATCATTATTATTATAACAATAATTAATTGTTGTCTTGTTTTTTTCTTACAGCCACACCGACCTGCGTTCAAGCCCCAGTTCGATGGTTCCGCATTCCCACCACGCTTCGACCTACAGCCAGATGGTGATTTGTAAAGATCGATGAAGAATTATTAATTAACCCAAGAAAACAAACGAACAAATAAACGAACAACAACAAACAACAACAACAATTAAATCGTCCATACAAATTTTTATCGCAAAACTCAAAGAGAGAACAACAAAATGATGATCGAGTACGTGAGAACAATTTATTAACCCATGATAATTAAATGGCGTCGTCGTCTTCGTCTCACTGTTTTATTTTTAAAATAAAATATAATCAATCAATGAATTAATTAATAAATAATAATAACAAATTTCTATATTAGAATCATATTATTCGTTATATTTAAATACACGCGCCCGTGTGTTGTGCAATATTTCAAAATCAATCATATTGGAAGATAAATTTATTAAACGATAATATTGTTTATTTAAATAAAATTCAATTAAAACAACAACAACAACAAAAAAATAAATAACAACACGACCGTTGAATTTAAGAAAAAAAAAAAGGCTCTGCGGCGGGACGGGAGAGGGGGGGGGTTGAAATAAATCAATCAGAAATTATTTTGAATATAATTAATCATACTCGAAACATTTAAAAAAAAAAAAAAGAAACACACACAAAAGAACATAATTATAAAAATAAATAAATATATATATAAATAAAAAAAAAAAATGAAGATCTAGTTACTTCGAGCTGTGAGGGGTCGAGGAATGGAGAGAATGAGAATGAGTGTGAGAGAAAGAGAGAGAGAGAGAGATAAATGCACGCGTGAAAGAGTGAGAGAGAAAGAGAATAAGAAAAAAAGGAACTTGCGAACTTAAAAAAAGCATTGAGAGACGCGTGAGACCCAACGAAGAGATATTTCTGTTATATTTACATATACTTATATATATATACATACATACATACATACATATAAATACGTACGTGCATTATTACATAAAAACAGCTCTTACAATGCATCTTATGATATGTTAAAAACAAAAACAAACAAACACATATCACTTAAATGTACAACCAAAAAGCAACGACAGTATAAAAAATAAACCCCCATGAGTAAGTCAGTAAAAAAACAAGATAATTAATAAAGATTTCTTAAAATGGGATGTGTCTCAAGGTTAACGAGAATATAATACAAAATTCTATATATATATA